CCTAACCTTTACATGACGTTGCAGAACCAGCCCCAACAGCCCCTTGTTGTTGTGTGGTTATTTCCTAGGCAAATTTACGTCCAGTAGTTTGCCATTGCTCACTGGACGGTCGGCTTTCTTGATGCCACTGTCGAAACCAACGCAAGGCGCATGGCCCGCAATTGGGATCGAACCCAGCATCTCAGCATTACGAAGCGTTCGCATCGACTGAGCCACAGAACCGACATGTCTTTTAATACGGCCGAACTATTTTACTTGATTCTGTTGAGTTTCTTTCAATGACTCGCTTTTTATTCACAGCCTTTCCTGAACAACTATATATATATATATATATATATATATATATATATATATATATATATATATATATATATATATATATATATATATATATATATATATATATATATATATATATATATATATAATGTAGCAGGTCTTTTGCAGAACGTCGCTCTCATCATGGTCTTCCTGAAAGAAACTCAGTCTGTCGCAAGCTGTCCCGCTTCATGCACATTTTTTTTCAAGGAGTTACTTTTATCCCGTGTCCGTAATCGTGTTGGTCGGCCTCTGTCCCTGCTTCCTGGTACCATGCCTTCTGCTATTATTTTGTTTTTTAATACACCATGGTGCTTGTTATGACCAGATTATTTCAGCTTCCGATATATATCTTTCAATCAATACGACCTATTTTCTGCATATCCTTATTTCCAGTGACTCGATTGGTTGTTCTAGATCAGGGCTGTACAGCTAAGTTTATCGGTGTTGACTCATTGGGCCAGTGTTCCCTTCCTGATGGGCTGTACAATGGACATTCTTGCAGGACATGTTCTTTAGTCTGCACACACAGCTCACAAGGGCACAGTGGTGAGCTACTTAGACAAAGCCTGTGCATATGTTTGCACACAGATAAATACCCAAATGGTTTGGCCAGATGGATGAGGAGAGATGAAATCATTGACCTGATCAGTGGTTCTGGTGATCGTCTGAGATGACGAAATATGACAGCCTGCGCTTACCGGCACGGCACATGGTGATGACCATATGATAACTTTCACAGGGGAGATGGCACAGAAAAAATGAATACCAGTCACCGTCATTCAGTGCTGTTCGATGTCAAGCAGGTGTTGACGCTAAAACCGTGTCGTAACAGCTGGTTGGCTAAACGGTTGAACACGGTTTCCGGGATTTGCAGCTGTTTGATTCTCGTCCCTAATTAATGTTAATTCTAGAGATTGCAATCCTGGAGAAGAAAAATTAAATTAAAAAAGAAAAGTAAATAAATAAATAAATCACGTGTGGCATCTGTTTTTGACAAAGTACTTTCAAGTCTTAACCTTTTCGAATTAAAACTACTCATGTCATATATGGATGACATCTTGACAACATAATGTCAACATAACAACATGAATACACTGAACAGTGACTATGACGCTCAGCGAAAAGTGAGCGAAGAAAAAGAAAACACACACACACACACACATAGACACATAGACACACGCGAATAGAAACAACTAACCGTTTCTGTCTGAGAGTTTATCGACGTCCACACCAACACAACAGTAATGTCAGTAAAGTTTCAGAAGCCACAGAAACCATTAATCTGTACTCACAGGCAGTAAACTAACACTTATTTCAAACGGCTTAGCACTTGTGGTCTTTTAAACTGTAAAATTTACATTTACATATGATTAATTCTTGACCAGTATATGGAACTCTGATTTCTACCAGTGATGCTATTGTTTTGAAAATAATCCCATGAATCTTGAGTCAGTATCTATTCGTAAAGGGCAAGGTGGTTTTTGTTCAGGGTATGTCAAAGTGTGTCTGTATGTGTGCGTATGTGCACGTGTGTGTGTGTGTGTGTGTGTGCGCGCGCGCACTGGCATGTGGATGTTCATTACATGTTAATATTAATTTAACTGTAAAATAAAGTGTATGTAGGACGCACAGATAGAAAAGTTTGATACTTACCAACAACAACAACAACAACAAACCACGAGTTGGAGGTGTAAATTAATAACAGAAACGGAAAACATAATGAATGTCTGAGACAGATAGTCCACATTCCATATATGTATATGTGTGTGTGTCTTTTTGTTTGTATGTATGAAGTGTCTGTTTGCTTGTTTGAAAATAACAGCATGTTTCTTGTGTGTGTTTGTTTATATGTGTGTGCGCGCGCGCGTGTATGAGTAACCATACTAAATAAACACATTGCAGTGTACACTCTCATCAAAGTTACAGATAAAGTCGAGAGGATAGACTTTACTGCACCGGGTTTCATCCCATTTGGATCGGTCTCCCCTCCGCAGAACGGTTAGCCGCCGGTCGAGAGCATCGCACAAAGCACGATCTCCGTAGCTCCGGCGACGATCTCCGCGAATCTCCGTAAAAATTGCACTCTTGAACTGAACGACCCAGCCGTCAAACGAACCTACGACCTTCAGAGCGCTTTGCAAATAGTTTGACCACGTCTCCACGGAGAACCCTTTTCCTCCTTCTCCTAAATGTATTCTGAAAATGCACATTCAAATTCCCAGCAATAGACGGCATATACTCTTATTTATAAGTGAGATGGAATGCCATGCGCAGACTGTGACTCAGCCGTGCACATGCTTCAGAAGCCACATTAACCTGCGGAAAAGAGAAACAAAAAGATCAGCTCGATGCAGGTTAATCAATTAGCACCTCTTTATTTCACAAATACATGCCAAAAAAACTACGATAAACAAATGAAAGTGTGCGGTTTTCCCACAGATAGCCATTTTAATTGACGATAGGGAAAAGTAGTCGATGTCTGTAAATTCACTCAAAGAAAGTCGCCCAGAATTTTGGATAAGTTTTTCACATAAAATTTTTCCTGCTAAGTCGTATCAAACTCATTTTTTTTTTTTTACATCATAAAGGTCTCATTGATCACTCGTATGTTTTGAGAAACCAAGAGGCTTTGAAAGAGGCGGGAGCCCGAAGACAACTTTTCACAAACATCAGAAGGAGACAGTCATCATTTTTCGGCTATGTTATGAGAAGAGAGAAAATATAACATAGTGTGACCACTAGACAGATCTGTGGAAGGAGGGATACATGAAGACAACGAGAGAAGATTCTTGACATGGCTTGGAGGTGTGTCAGCTTCTCCTACTTCTTCTTTCGTTCGCCTGAAATAGGTTGTCTGTATCAGCAGTTTTGTCTTCTTGAATAAATTTCACTGTCGTTGTTAGTTCATTTAGTGGTCCATAGAGTTTACGTTACACTGTTGTTCTTTCTGATCGACATGAAGTAATAATCTTAGTCCAGAGCAATGCGCAGTTTGTCTATGATTGTTTCCTTTGAATAGTTAATGGAGTAGGCATGCCAAAGTGTTTAATATTTTCATTACTGAGTAGTTATTGCATTAATTCTTTCGATCCCCAAAGACTGTGCACTTCATAATAATAATTCTGAGTCTTGATGCGTTAAAATTAAAGATGTTGACAGAAGGCGTTCAAGTAATAATGTGGATAGAAAGGGCGAACAACCCCCCCCCCCACCTACCCCCCCCCCCCCCCCCCCCCGAAAATGAAAACAAAAATTTGAATGAAATGTATAGAGTGATCACATGTCAATGGTTGTGTGATGGACTGCTTTCACTGAAAGAGTTAAACAAAGTAAAGGATTCGCTTCACGCCATTTTCATTTTAACAGCATACTGTTCTCAATGTTTTCAAATCTGGCTTGAGCAGTTTTTCTAAAAATTTTCTTAGTCGCAGCGCCTTTTCTTAATTACAATTTTGCCACGGCGCTCTAACCTAAATAGAGGTATGACTATTTGTATGTAAGAGATTAAAAAAATAAAACTGGTGTATCTTTGAATTGTGATTGAACACATTTCGCGGCGCCCTTGTGAAGAGGTCGCGGCTCCCTGGTTGCCGCGGCGCACAGTTTGGGAATCACTGAGCTAGAGCATGCTACCGATCTTTGCTTTCCCAGGTTACTTCCACTATCTTTCTAATAATAATAAAAATAATAATAATAATAACAATAACATCAATAAGAATAATAAATTCTGGATTTTTCAAAGTAGTCTTTGCACGGGCATCCGCTGTAAAGAATTATTTATTTATGAAATAATTTTTTAAGTAAAATGCCCTTCGTTAACACCATGAGTCGAAGGGGAAAAGGGCGCTAAATCTATATTTGTATATACCACACACACACACACACACACACACTCGCACACACACACACGCACACACACACACACACACGCACACACACACTCGCACACACACACACACACACACGCACACACACACACACATACATTTAGCAATAGGACTGATGCTTCTACATACTCGGCTACCCTGCTTTTGGGTAATCCAGTAGACGTGATGTGTGTGTGTTTGTGTGTGTGTTTGTGTGTGTGCGAGTGTCTGTGTATTTGTGTGTGTGCCAGTGTGTCTGTGTGTGTGCGAGTGTGTGTGCGAGTGTATGTGTTTGTGTGTGTGTGTGCGAGTGTGTGTGCGAGTGTGTGTGTGTGTGCGAGCGTGTGTGTGCGAGCGTGTGTGTGTTTGTTTGTGCGTGCGAGTGTGTTTGTGTGTGCGAGTGTGTGTGTTTGTGTGTGCGAACGTGTGTGCGAGTGTGTGTGTATGTGTTTGTATGTGTGTGTGAACGTCTGCTCCTTACTGGGGCGGTAGAAAGGTTATACATAATAAACAAATAGACGTGTATTGTTTGACACTCATAGCAAGAAGTAGAAATGATCGTGTGTCTGAGTATATTTGTTCCCACAGCGATGTGATATTGTCACACACACAGATATACACACATACATGTATTCCTTCTTTTACACACACATACACGTTCTTCATTCGCACTTTCATTTCATCGAGTCTTCTACTCTTAACATAACACAAGACAAGGCCAACAGCCCTTGTGTATATCTCATAATGCTATATATTACATTGTTCATCAAAATACTTTCATAGGGTTCCTTCTTTCATCCCCAGACCAACGGCATGGAATCTGAACCCGAGTCCGATGTGCTCAGCGACAGCGGCGACGCTATAGAAGACCTCAACGCAGACAAGCTAGACCCGGCAGATCGAGTCCTCTACGAGAAACTGAAGCAGCAAGAGCGCCAGGAGCGGGAGGAGATCGAAAGAGAGCTCCAAGAACACGAGGAAGCGCTGGCTTTCCACAGCAACCATCTCCGAGCTCGGGAGAAGGAGCTGCACCTGGTGCAGGAGCGCATGCAACAGAGATCTGAGCGTGAGCTGGATTTAAGCAGCAACAGTCGCCCTAGCTCAAACAAATCGTCCACGACTCCCAACGGTATTACGACCACACCCAGCAGCATGAACGGCTGTGGCAGCACTGTTATAACCACCAACAGTGGCGCTATCGTCAACGCTACAGACGCTGAGAAGAAAGCTAGCATCCCCACCAGTGCTAGTAACAATCGCAACACTGTCATCAGTAACCCCGGGAGCGGCAGCAGTGTCGGCATGAACAAGACTTTGCCGGACACAAACAGCGATATGAATAAATTTCTTTCTGAGGACTTCCGCGCGCATCTTCATAACAGCGCTAGCTTCTTGTCCTCGTTCCAGCTAGGACATCCCTTAGCTCACGCACATTTAGCTCTAGGAGGACATTTGTTAGGTAGAGATTTTAAGAGCTTGGACACGGTAAACCCTTTTCATCAAATTATGGCAAATCACAGTGCTTTTCCCAGCCCACCTTCGCCTATTGAGCGATATCCTCCATCTTCAACTACACCCCATTCACCAACGGGCAGCCTTCAGCTTTCACCGTCACCCGATGACCCTAATGGAGAAAACAGATCGCACAACTGGACCTTCGAAGAGCAGTTCAAACAGGTACAGGTACATAGACTTTATTTTACAATAGTCTTAGCAACTCGACACCTGCATTTCATTGTTATTTTTTTGCCATCATTCTCATTGTCATCGCCACCACTATTATTATCATCATCCAAATCATCCTCATCAACATCAGCACCATCATGTTCTTTAGATTAATAATAATAATAACAATTGTCATAACTACTTGTCTTGTGACAATGGATGTTGATAGTTTAATTATAAGAACTCCACGGGGGAGCATGTACAGTAGAGGTCCACCGATCATCAATAGAAAGATCCCTTGATAACTATTGTTTCGGCCCGTTGTCATTTCTACACAGTCTCGGAAGGTGGGCCGACCTGGGTCATAAATCCCAGGCCTCGATCTTCTCCTGCTGTAATAGATATCCAACATTCTCTGCCTTGAATCTTCTTTATATATCCTGTCATCCAGCCATGTTTGTCCATGGATACACACGAAGGCAGCAACCAGCATCCAAGTCGTCAACACCACATTTTCAGAGCTAACGAGGAAGCTTGAAAGGCTGCTTACTTCTTTCTTCTGCCTGATATGTCCAGTTGGAGCATAAGCTCTCAACTCAACCAGTTCTCGACAGTTAGATCTATCTGTTGCAATGGCATACAGCTCACCCCCCCCCCCTTTTTTTTGCCCCTTTTCTCCCTGCCCATAATCTCCCCATCTTTTCACCTAACTCTCAGATTTAATTCTCATTGTACTTGTAAGAGTTTTATTCTCCAAATTGAGGGAGGTGGGGTCTGCTCTTACTCATTTAACCATGTGGGTTCGAATTCAAAGACATTCTAGGTATATTGTAAAAAGTTGTTGTCAGTGTGTATCTTACCCAATGCCAACGTCTTTTCCTCACCTCTTGCTTTGATAAAAGATCTTTTAAGAGGCAGCGCCGGTGTTGACAGCTATCGTGGCTTCATTCTAAGGAAATAACTAAACCCACTGTTATCTTCTGCCTGAATTATATATTTTCAAATTGAATATTTTATAAGCTCATAAAATTTATGAAAATTTCCCAGCTGTGTCATTCAGGGAAATGTATTCCGTGTGAAAATCTCCTTAGGCTGCCGACCTATACTGTTAGTAATCATATATATTTATAGAAAGCTAAGGAATATTCTCCTTTTTGATGTCTAATTTTAAAGTTTTTTGCTGCGTTTAGAATTTTTTCCTGTCTTAAGTTTTATACGAACAAATTAATTGACTGTTTAATTAATTAGTGTGTTTTAAGTGGTGAGTGTGGGTGACATATGGTTGTGTGTGTGTAAAAATGGTAAGTTAACTGTATACTTAAATAGCTTAAGCCACACTGAAAAAAGTGGCAGGGGTCTGGGGTTGAAAAAAAAAGGAGTGGGGGTGAACTGAACTACTGCCCCCTGAAAGTCGGCTACGTGGTTCAATCTCCGATAACGACTAGGATTTTTTCACGTGGACTTGGTCTTCTAGTAATTCCACCTGGTCTCTGGGTAGTGAGATCGGACGCCCGTGTGCAATGTTGCGTACGTAAAAAAATCCCTCGGCAGTGGGAAATCAAAAAGAATAGCCTAACGGCGCTGCCCTGGAAACATTTTGAAGTAAAAATCTATACAAAGTATTTCAGGATCCTCGCCGGTGCTACAGAACTTGTTCACTGTGTTGAGCTTTTCTGACTCAGACTTGAGTTAGAGGAAGAATGGAGCACTTATGGGTTACTACCCGTGTGTCGTGATGTTGATCCGTTGTTCAAAATCTCAAAAACCTCAAACTGCCTCCCCCCACACCCCCCCCCCAAGAAACTTTATACAAAAAGCGGCTAACTAACATAAACTACAAGTTTTCAAAACATGTCGTAATGTAAATTTTTTTTCTGTAAATTACCAACATAATTTGTAAAATAAGTCAGCGTATCGGTTTGCATTGTCTCAGTATCTTTTAAAATAAATGTAGTGATATCTTTGAAATATATAAATATCGTGGTAAATAAGTATGCATGTACGTGTTTGAAAGTATCTAATTCGATAAATATCAGTATCTTGTTAAAAGCCTAAATATTTTGCAAAAATAATTATCTTTATCCGTTTGAACTGTTTAAACGCCTAGTTAACCAAGTGTGTTATCTGTCTCAATTGTCCAAACAACTAGATGACCAAGTGTGTGCATCTGTCTCAAATGTCCAAACACATCACATCTAGTTGGCCAAGTGTGAGCATGTCTCAATTGTCGAAATATCTAGTTAAAAAGTGTGCGGATTGGCCCAAAGGCACAGCTATCGTATCCCAGCTGTAAACCACAATACAACGTGTTTACTGCTCTTTTAATGGAAAATGTAGGAAAGAAAAAGATGATGATCTAAATGGGAAATAATCACACTGTAGGCCAGAATAAATGTGCAGTAATCTTGGACACATACAACCTGTCTACGGCTGTTATTTTACGGGTTGAATATGTCTGCGAATGGCATTTTACTTTTAGACGAGTCGTACAGACATACACACTCACTCAGGTGGATCTTTAGAGAAGGTAATCAGAAACAGACACACACACCTAGCTACATCTTTAGAGAAGGTAAACAGAAACAGACACACACACACCTAGCTAGATCTTTAGAGAAGGTAATCAGAAACACACACACACATAGTTAGATCTTTAGAGAAGGTAAACAGAAACACACACACACACACACACACACACACACACACACACACCTAGCTACATCTTTAGAGAAGGTAAACAGAAACAAACACTCACCTAGCTAGATCTTTAAAGAAGGTACAGAAACACACACACCTAGCTAGATTTTTAGTGAAGGTGACAAGAAACACGCCCACTCACCTAGCTATATATTTAGAGAAGGTAAATAGACACACACACTCACCTAACTAGATATTTAGAGAAGGTAGACAGAAAAGCACACACAAAACTTAGTTTAAAGAGATGTCAGTAAGTCAAACATTTGTGCAAACTATTGTACAAGATATTTAGACGTGTCAAACACGTGTACACATTTATTTAACAAGAGATGTAGACGCTTCAGTTAGATAAGTACACAATTTAACTAGATATTTAGATAACTCAAACAGATGCACACACTTATTTAAGTAGATATTTAGACAATTCAGACAGATGCACACACTTATTTGAGTAGATATTTAGACAATTTAGACAGATGCACACACTTATTTAAGTAGACATTTAGACATTTCAAACAGATTAAGTTTCTTACTTAGCAGAATATTCAGACTATTTAAACAGATAATGACGCTTATCGAATAAGACGCTTAGACATTTCAAATATATTTGATTTATTTAGCCCCCAAAAATCTGAGAAATCACTTAAGTAAAGACACCAGTTTAAAAACGTCTGAAGACAATTCAAACAAATACACACATTTCTTCTGTTTTTTTATTTTTTTTTAGCGTTCACCGACTGTAAACTCAAGCGGAGAGTCCTGGTTGTTTGTCCATGTCTGAATTCTGGCCCTGTTCCAAAACTTTATCTTTGCGTGCACATCCATTTCACAGATCTAGCTTATGTGTATGCAGAATGTTGGTTTCTTGCCTCTCAATCAGATGCACTTCGACTTCTAAGAAAACATCCGTAATTAGTCGCTTTAAACGCATATTTGTTTAAGGGTGGGGCGGGGGAGAAGGTGTCAGTGGGTCAATTCTCCATGCACCCCTCCTCATGGGGTCCCAGAACCCACACTGGAGGCACGGTTATTTAACACGTTCTTTATACAAGTTTGACAAGCGCATAAATTAAATCTGACAATAATTTTCTGAAGGTCGGGCACGTAAACCACTCCTGTCGTACAATCCAACAGTACCATTGCTTTTTAACAACAAATATTAAATAGATAATGTGAGCTCTGTGCTCCAGTAGGGGATTCAATGCTGAATAATGATTCCATGAGAGCGACCATGATAAAATAATAATAATTATAAAAATAATGATAATAATAATAATAATAATAATAATAATAATAATAAGGAGGAGGAGGAGGAAAAGAAGAAGAAGAAGAAGAAGAAGAAGAAGAGGAAGAAGAAGAAGAAGAAGAAGAAGAAGAAGAAGAAGAAGAAGAAGAAGAAGAAGAAGAAGAAGAAGAAAGAAGAAGAAGAAGAAGAGAAGAAGAAGAAGAAGAAGAAGAAGAAGAAGAAGATGAAGAAGAAGAAGAAGAAGAAGAAGAAGAAGAAGAAGAAGAAGAAGAAGAAGAAGAAGAAGAAGAAGAAGAAGAAGAAGGAGGAGGAGGAGAAGAAGAAGAAGAAGAAGAAGAAGAAGAAGAAGAAGAAGAAGAAGAAGAAGAAGAAGAAGAAGAAGAAGAAGAAGAAGAAGAAGAAGAAGAAGAAGAAGAAGAAGAAAAGCAAAGGGAGTGAGAGAGAGGGGAGAGAGATAGAGACAAGCGAGTGGGGGGGGGGAGATAGATAGATAGATAGATAGATAGATAGATAGATAGATAGAGAGAGAGAGAGAGAGAGAGAGAGAGAGAGAGAGAGAGAGAGAGAGAGAGAGAGAGAGTCAACTGCACGCTATACATACAGCAGCATTTTTAAAAAACACAAAAAATGATATATTTATTTGAAATACATAAAATCCAAGATAGGAATAAATGCAAAGCCACATCTTAATCAATTTGTCTTGTCATCTGTGTTAATTTAACTTTAACTAAATGTCTTTCCAATGGCTTAGGCGTTTGCGAGTCCAACGCGTAATTCAAACTATTCGCGATCGAAACCCACTGCTGGCTGCGTAGATGTTAAACAAGTTATCGGAAGTCGCAGGTCGACCCAGCCTAAACTGGGTACCAGGATGTATGTCCTGGGAAAGTAAAGACGGCCTTTGTAATTCTGACCACATTACCCACCTTGTGCCGATTGGTAAAAAAATATGGGTGCTCTTCCCATAGGCCCAATAAGCCTAAAGACGTGACAAGAGATCTTTGCTTTACTTACTTACTTTTCCAATGAATCCACCTCTGCTGAAATTCAGATAGTCTTCGTGGCAATC